TGGACATCTGTTCCCCGCGCTTTATTGTCTTTTTTTGTAGAGTAAGACAGATTTACTTCTTTCGAATCACTGGACCATCTTTTTGACCAACTACTGAGTGAATTATACAATAAGAGCTCATAAAATTTTCTGTGCGCAGGATTTGATGAGTTCGACATTAATGCCATCTTTCTCAAGAGCCTTTCCACTTGTGGGATGTGTACCTTATTTTACTAATAAGTACAGGAGAGGTTTGCTGCCTAACGGTACAAATTACATGCACCGGAATATAAGTACCTACTGCGAGCAGTTTTATGTACAATTCCCAACCCATATCCTCCATGCCTTCTTGGTCTGTTTTTAACCCACTGCGAGGTAAGCACAGAAGCAGTCTTCAAACATCTTTCTGAAACAATGAATCGCCTTTGTCTTCCATCAACAACTGTAATTACTGACATGCTCCCTTAACTTCGGTCTAACATGAGGGGAAGATGCGCAAAGGTGCGAGTTTTATCCTATCCACATTCCTCACCAACAATATTTTCATAGTTGCAGAAATCCCCCGAATCCGACCATCGACGTAAGCCGCACTTATTTAGTGCACATAAAAATTTATCAACTAAAAGTCTCTGCAATCCTTTCCGATGTCTGCCAGATAATACTCATGACCTGTCACTTCTCCTTCCCATTAATTTTTTTTTCCAGCACTTGTTAAAGGGTCATCTTCCCCCGCTCAAATTTTGCTTTGGAATCTTCCTTTCACTTGATGGACCGAAACATTCCCATCCAGTTTTTAATCTTAACTTATTCACATTCCCTTTTTTATTCCCTTACATCTTACATAAACACATGCCAATCAACATTAAAATAATGGTCGTATAAAGCCGCCCAGTTATCCATCCCCAGATTTAGCAAAACCAATTCGATCCATCAAAATCTTCGCGGCTATGTGAGTACCCGAACCTCGTAAATTTAAGGTTTTATTGGACAACTTCAAAAATAAGCTCAGTCTGGTTGTGATGTTCTGAGTAGTCAGGATGAAGTCTATGATAAGTGACCCAACAGCTACACATTTTAATTGTATATCAAAGAAATACACATTTTACACAACGTGAGCAAACGCTTCGGATAAGGAAAGGCATTGTGTAACATGAAAAGGAAGGAGATCGTGGCGCTTGGTATGCATAAGTCCAATTGATAATGTTCTAAAATGATGTTCAGGAAGAAATTTCTGATAACTGATCATCTAACAATTGCAAAGACTGTACGCATCAGGGAAGCACACATTTACATATCATGAGCATACAGTTCTGAGATAAGGATATCGGGTAATGAAATAAGTAATGAAACGGATCGTGGCATAGCGCATGGTATGTGAAACAAATTTCAAAAGCTACAGGGCTGAAATTTTGGGAACTTAATCTGCATGCGTGTACAGGCCCCCATTTTAAACTTTTCAACGCAAACCAAAATCTCTAGGGCACAGGAAGGAATATTGAAAATAAATTCAAGGCACAGTCAATGACATATATGACATATCAAAAGTTAGCACCTCAAAAAATTCCCAGATTTTACATCGATAATACATAAATTAAAAAAAACCCAACATAAATGATGGAACGAATTTTCTCCATAAATTTTCAACGCAACCCAAAATCTCTAGGGCACAAGAAGGAATGTTGAAAATAAATTCGAGGCACAGTCAATGAATTGTATCAAAAGTGAGCACTTCAAAAAATTCCCAGATTTTACATCGATAATACATAAATTAATCAAATCCAACATAAATGATGAAATAAATTTTTTCCATAAACTTTTCAACGAAACCCAAATTTTTTTTTGGCACAAGAAGGAATGCTGAAAATAAATTCAAGACACAGTCAACGACGTATACGACGCATCAGAAGTCGGCACTTCAAAAAATTCCCAGATTTTCCATCGATAATACATAAATTAAACAAACCCAACATAAATGATAACACAAATTTTTTTCATAAACTTTTCAACGCAACCCAAAGTCTTTTTCTGAGCACAAGAAAGAATGTTGAGAATAAATTCAAGGCACAGTCAATGAATTGTATCAGAAGTTGGCACTTTAAGTAAATCCCATATTTTACACTGGCAACACATAAATTTAAAAAAATACAACATAAAAGATAACAGAAGGCACGCAAATTTTACAGCACAGAAGCAAGCTCGGCATAATTTTTCAAAGATAAAAAGCTCTGAAGTAAGCACCATCTCTCATTTACGTCGAAAGGTAGATAAATGAAGCAGTGATATGCGTCGTGGAATGCGACTGGGCGCTCGAGTGCCGGTGTCAGGAATCTGAAAAAAAATCTCATAAATAACGCTGGTCAAAAAAAAAACCTGAGCCGTGGCGCAATAGGTTTCTGCAAAAATTCTACACATACTTTAAAAAAAAAAAAAAGGAAACCCAGCATTACACAGTAGCATTTTTCAAGAGAAATCTCCTCATTTTCACAGTTGCTTTTCTTTCTTTTTTTTATTGTATACGAGGTATTTTTTTAAAGTATTTTCAGTATTTTCTTTTCAGCCATTATTCAGTATTTCAGTATTTTCAGTAGTATGCATACGAGCTATTTCAGTATTTCAGTACTACTTTAAGCTATTTTCCAATATTTGCCTGTGACAACATCAAATTTTTTGCGCATCCCATTAAAAATACCCACTTTTTTCTTATTTTTCCTTCTCCGTGAACAATTTTACCATCCTTAGACAGAAGAAGGTGGCCGAAAGGTTTAAGTAAATAACGAAAATAGGTCTACCCTGAAGAACCAACTTTCGCAAGACAACTAAAAAAAAACATCTGCCTGCTTTGTAGGCTTGCAGGCCAATTTTCACAAGACTTGCTTCGATTCTCAGCATAATCATTTAGCAGCATAGTGGCTCGATTTTCAAAAATTCTACAGCTTAACATGCTTAAACTGTCCAGAATTTTTAAAAAAACTGACCGACATGGCTGAACCAGTTGAAATTGGGTTTTTTTCTTCCGCAACAATTGAGGGTGCCGTAATTTCCGCCTCCACAGCGGTATTTTCTACAAAAAAAATTTTGATAAAAATGAAGAATACATTTGGGAAATGCTACTAAAAATCCAAAATATTTGAAGGTCTTTCAATAAAATTTGTAGAAATTACCTGGCCCTTCCTTGAGAGAGAAACTTTCTTTGCTTTTTGAAACAGATAATTCATTTGCTGCAGTGGCAGCAACAGTAGCATCATCATCTGCAGCTTGTCGCGTCGTTTCTACTTCTTCTGCAGCGTCAAAAAACAATTCATTTCCACCATTTGAAGCGCGATTTTCATCACGATCAACCTTATTTTCATTCAGATCTTTCGTTCCTAGAAAACACCGAGGATCACATTGCAATAAAAAAGGCAGGAAAAATTTACAATCTCATGACAAATAAATAGCAACGCGCACCAGACTAGCCGGTGCGATCATGCGTTTTGTGCAATTCAGCCCATCGGACGACTGCCTGTTAATGATTTTCACTGCTTTGTACTTTAGTCTATGCAAAAATAGTTCAAACTAAAGAAGACCAGACAAAAATTTCACGCACCAGCGTATGAAAACTGAATTCGAAACCTTGAAGGATGAATATCTTTTCGTGAGAATTTCACGCACCAGCGTATGAAAGCTGAATTCGAAACCTTGAAGGATGAATATCTTTCCGTGATTTCGATTTCATGCACCAGCGTATGAAAGTTGAATTCGAAACCTTGAAGGATGAATATCTTTCCGTGATTCCCCGCACCAGCGTATGAAAGCTGAATTCGAAACCTTGAAGGATGAATATCTTCCCGTGATTCCCGATGCACCAGCGTATGAAAGCTAAATTCGAAACCTTGAAGGATGAATATCTTTCCGTGATTCCCGCGTTAATAGTTAGCGCATGAAAGCTGAATTCGAAGCCTTGAAGGATGAATATTTTTCCTTGATCCCAGAGTTAATTTTTTTCACTGCTTTGTACTTTAGTCTATGCAAAAGTAGTTCAAACATTGAAAAACAGTTAAAAATTTCACGCACAGCGTATGAAAGCTGAATTCGAAACCTTGAAGGATGAATATCTTTCCGTGATTCCCAAGTTAATAGTTTGGCGCATGAAAGCTGAATTCGAAACCTTGAAGGATGAATATCTTTCCGTGATTCCCGAGTTAATAGAGCATAAAGTTGAATATGAAACCTTGAAGGATAATATCTTTCCGTGATTCCCGAATTAATAGTTTATCCGCCAAAATTTTCACGAGACTTGAAGGGTGAATATCTTTTCGTGGTTCACGAGATAATGACTTACTCGTAAAAACTTTCACTAGCCCGCAGGTGGTGCCCGAGAGCGCGGGAACGCTAAACTTGAATGGGCAAGATTGCGCGTGGGCAGGGGGTCATCACCTTGAAATTCCAGCCTCCTAGACTTCGTGGTTCCCGAGATATTAATTTACCTGTAAAAAACTTTCACGAAGCCACACGTGTTACCCGCGGGAACGGGGAGGCTGAATTTAAATTTGCGGGGTCACACGTGGGTAGGGAACGTCACCCTAAAATTTCAGCTTCCTAGCTCTTGTAGTTCCCGAGTTGAAATACAACTTGCTGCGGAGACACACACACACACACACACACACACAGACAACCCCATGACAATATGCGTTTTGTACTGCTGTTACACAGCACAAAACGCATAAAAATACCTATAATTCTGTGTTCTTGCCGATGAGCATTGTTGTCATGCCTCAACCTCGTCTGTTGATCAGAATTTGCATGTAACAATGGTGTCATTTTCGTTGTCGTCGCTGAACCTGATGATCGCAACGGACGGATCATCCTAGCTTCTGGCGTCTGTCGTCCAGAATGCACGAGGCGGGTTTTTGGTTTCGTACTCACTGCACTCCTCTGTGTTTTCTTTACAACTGCAGACTGATTTTTGGAGCCCTGGAAATAGGCAAACTAAATTGTTCAATAAGCGATAAAATGGCAAAAATTGTGCAATTTTTTTGTCAGGTAGAAAATAATTTCTAAATTTTGCGTGCTCACGAGTTCTACGAATAACTTAGAGTTAAAATTAACTGATCAATAAGCGACAAAATGGCAAAAATTGTGCAATTTTTTGTCGGGTAGAAAATAATTTTAAAATTTTGCTGCCAAAAATAATAACCATTACTCGGAGCTAGGGAGCATCAAACGTCTCAAAGCGCAGATGGGAGAGTGGTTCAAAAAAACCCCTTAGGTTTCGTTGGTCACCTTACCATTGCTTTAATCGCTGTCTTGCTACCGGATTGTGATGTGCTTACAGCAGGTTTTGTTTTGTTGTGCAGCTTCAGAACCGCCGCAGAAGCGTTCAGCCCGTATTCCTTTTTCAGGTTCTCGCAGTTTTCACGAACCTAAATTTGAAGCAAAATTTATACAAATTATCAAAATTCCTATTTATATTACCAGGCTGTGTATTACAGCAGCAAAATTTTTACAAATTATCAAAATTACTATTTATTTGACCAGAAGAAAAGGGAAAAGTATCACAAGAACAAACACACAATCAGTAAAAAAGCCAAAGAAGTTAAAGTCATTTTCAAAAATGTAAAAAAAAAGAAAGAAAGCAGACCTTAGCTAATTTCCCTTTGTCCTGGGTAACTTGACCGCAATAATTATTTATCGCACTCTCGCTGACAATCCTCATTAGTGCTCCAATTGCAAGAAATGATGCCTCACGGACACTGGAATCTGCATCAGATGCAAGCTGCAAAAATACCATTATTCTATCCAAAGCGGTATAAATCATGTGTTCTCGAAGATAATAATGCAAGAAAGCCGAATTCCTTTCATTCCACAGTTTTTTGAACGTACGACGAAAAATTAGCTTTGCCGCACTTCGGGGAAAGGGTGGGGGGAGGGAGGAAGGGGAAAGAGGGGACCACAAGGCCATAGAAAGATGCTTAACTGCGAAGCAATCGGTTATCTTAGCCAACTGCACCTCTCCCTCTCATGGAATGATAAGTAACGGCCATTAGAAGGCAGAATCATAAGTGGACGGTGCAAGTGGAGCAGCCGAAGTGGGTTAAATTGATAATTTGCGGCCCCTGGTGGGCCGAACCGTAATTTCTGAAGTAAACGGCCAGTCCGAACCGTGGAAAATACGGAACGGCCATAATCCATGAACTTCAATGTGAAGTGAAACTCGTGAATCCCATTGCCTGTTGCTGTCTTGCAACAGCATTTAGCCTCAAATCGAGTTGCCAGCTTTCTTCATGCTCTCAGGCCTCGTATCAAAAATACATCTGCAGCCCAACCTTGCTAAGTGCTGAGCCAAGCTTTTGCTCCACACATTCCTGTCGTATTGTTTGCGCACTGTGCTGGCGCAAAAGCCTCGCAATAAACAAAGCAGT